ATGGAGCAAAGATGAAGCAGACACGGTCCGGGGATTTAGCTCAGTGGTTCCGCTGCCTGCCTTGCAAGGGCAAGGTCCGGAGTTCAATCCCCAGTACCAAAAAAAGAAAAAAAAAAAAAAAGAAACAACACTCACGTAAAGATACATTTTGAGGAAATTAAGGGTACAGAGGCCTTGTCTGTTGTGTTGGCTTCTATTAAAGTTTCCCCAGAAACAGACTCTGCATGTTAAAAATTCAACCTCTGCTTAGCATGCATGCATTAGTGACCCCAGGCTTCCCTCTTCAGTGGGTGCCATGTCTTCATGGCAGTGGGATATTCCCAAGCGTCACTTCAACTGCTGGACTGCCTGCCTGCCTCAGAGAGAGCAGGGTGGGACCTATCTTCTGGGTGCATAGGCTGAGGACACCAGCACCATCACATGACATTACCCCCTGCCCCTCAGCCAGAAGAAACTTTCCAAAGCTAAGACAGAAGTCACATTCCTGCTTACAAGCCCAGTGGCTTCTCCAGGTATCAAGGAGGCACACAGGTCATGGTGACCTACAGGGTGCGTGACCTGGCCTGTTGAGCATTCCCATATCTGCGCACTGTCCTCTTCTCTAGGTGCTGGCTACCCTTTGTACCTCCAGCTCTTCCATGTAAATACACATCCCTTCTTAGCAGCCTGTCCTTCTGCAGGGTGCCAGTTCCCCAGGTCCAAGGGTGCCCCTCCCCTCACCTCCCTAAAGCACCTCCATGTGCTCTCCACCTGTGACACCCCCTCTGTCTGTCCCAGTCATGCTCAGCCAAATTTTATCTTATTCTCGGCACTGATTAGGACAGTATTTGAAATGGTTGTGTATTCTTCTGTCTATTCTCATGAAAAAGTACATCAAAAGGGGACCCCAAAGTCCAACTCACATGCATTTAGTATTTGAGAGAATTCCTAGGAAATGTGGTCTGACAGAATGGTGCCTTGCTATTTTTTTCAAAAGCCCTTCATCTGGCATCACTGTGTTTCCTGAAATATACCTTTCGTCAACTATGAATCACATCTACAGACTGTGATGTTCTTTTGACTGTCCTATGTCCTGTGGTTTTCCCTCCTAAACACATACTGGGATTTGTCACTGTGACAGTATAAGATGTGATTAGGCCACCAGGGATAGGCTCCCCTTTGCAGGCAGGACAGCAACCCCTCCTATGTCCCTTCACCCTCTTTCAGCCTTTTTGCCACATGATGAGCATCCGCTGGTAAGTTCTGCTTACCATGAAATATTTGGTCTATGGTGTTCTGTTACAGAAGCACACAGCAGACAATATGGTTAACTGTACTTAAATTGTAATGCCCCGTAAGTTTCACTCTTCAAAATGTTTGTCCATATCACCTTTTGGGGGGCACATTCATATGTATTTAGGTTTTCACAACTATCACTGCAATCTGAAGATGGACTAGTCCATCCATCCCTGGATGCCCTGGTGCTGCCCCTGGGCTGCCACCCTACCCCGAGCCATCTTTCCAATCCCAGCTGCCCTGGTCAACAACAGCCCCCGACCCCATCTGTACCCCCATTGGCACTGTTTTTGCAAGACACCATGGAGGGCACAGAGGCAGCTTCTTTTCCCTGCATTTCACCTACTGTGTGCGCCAGCCATCTGATGCTCCTCACTGCTGACAATACCACAGAGCATGGCTGTCAGAGGATGCCTGTCCCCATGCAGCTCAGGGTGACACCCATTCCCAGGGCAGTTGGCAGGACTGTGGCCCTGTTGACTGCTCAGTACTCACCGGGCAAAGACAGTGCCACTGCCGCCTGGGAAGGTGTAGGGGTGCTGCTTCCGGAACACATGTCCCACACGGCTACAGGGGATGATCTCCAGGCTGCCACCACACTGCCACACGCGGAAGGAGATCTCTAAATGGGGACGAGACCGGTGACTGGTGGGCTGGTGGGCATTCCCATGACAGTCCCCATGATGCAGGTGTCCCTCCCTGACTACTGCAGGAGTCCCCCGGAACTGCTCCCTCCAGGAGCTCTCTCTAGAGCTCCACACACCTGCGTGGTAAGACCACAGCATGACCAAGCGTGCAATGGGGAAACACCCTGTGGATCTGAACTCAGTGCTCTCTGACTACTGGACCACCTGCATCCCAGGGACATCTAGCCGGCTCATGCCTTGCTCAGCACAGACACTGCCAGGAAGGCAACAGTGAGGGTAGTGAATATCAAGCTTTAATGCTGGACGTAGCAGGCACCATGGATACCACCTTCCTCTTCACCTTCAAATTGACTGAGTACTAGGATGTGTCTGAGCTTCTGCATTTGGGGAAAACAATCCTATCTCTTAAATTGCATCCATGGGCACTGGTAACATCGACAGGTGCCTTACAGACTACAGTTGACATAGACTCTAACTATGCAGCAACCTGCTGGCCTTGGCAGGATCCCCTAAGGAAGACACTTTCACCTGCAACAACACAGACTGGCCTATGGGGTGACTCACATGAGGACCAGGCAGCACCTGTGCTGACCTGAGCACACACTGTCCCTTCAGGATAAAGGATCTTTGATCAGGTGCCAGTTCTAACCACCGCCTATTCTGAACAAAAGAAACTGAGATTGAACAGTGGAAACCAAGACATCCTGTTCTGAGAGGCCAAGCACTGTTCCTGAGAGTTGCCAGAGGCCATGCAAAGGGTACATCCATCTGTATTTACTGAGGCACCTCAGAACATGCAGGGTAAGGACCTATGGAGGCAGCAACCCTGCCAAGCACAAATGGATCAGAATGAGGTGGGACTTCTGTGACCACAGATAAGTGGACAGTGAAATGCTCTGGACAAGCACCCAGGTCCTGGATCAGTGCCTGGACTGCACAGCAGGGGCCGAAACACCACTCAGAACAGCCCTCATGCCTAGCATGAATGGGAAACCAAGGACACAGGGACAACCTCACTCCCAAGGAAGGGTGCCCTGGGTGGCCCCCTCACAGGTATGCAGAACTCGTAGTCAATACCATCCACCCAAACGCACTGAAAAGTTTTGCACTTTATTTAGTGCTCAATTAAATGTTGAGTAAAATGTTCTCCACATTTCAGGAATTACAATTTCAGTATATGTTTCCCTGTTGGCAGGTGCATACTCGGGTTCCTATGTGGGGAGAGCTGAGACAGCAGGGGCCACTGGAAGACTCAAGGGAGCGTTCAGAATCAGCACACTGCGGTGACCTTCAACTCTGACCTCACTCAAGTTCTGAGTGAGAAGCTGTCCCCAGGAAGCCTCACCACCATCTCGGTGGAAGATCAGGACGCTCGTCCCCTTTGCCAATGCTTTAATGCCATAAGGATGTACATCACTGGTCAGGGAAGCAGGTCGCTGTCCTCATTACAACTGGCAGCATCAGGGAGTGATCTGGATCTCTGTCGGGCATCCCAAGGTTTCCAGCACAAACCCGGAGAGCCATAGGTGAACACACCTCGGCACAGCTCTGTGTCTCAGCACACAGAGGAAGCAGCAGAGGCTGTGCTCAGGAGAAAGCAAGGCTCACATCCCAGTCTTCCTGCTTGAACCCTGTGCTACTCAGCTTTTGCCAAGAGCCCTGGAAGGAGCACTCAGGGAGGGAAGATTCCCATGCCCTGCAGGCCCTTAGCTAGCACATAGATATACAAACCAAAACACAGCCATCCAGCTTGTTCAAGCAAGTTCTGCCCACCTCTGGCATCCAGGTGCGTGAATCAACCCTCTATGCTGAGATGTAGCTGCTGTCCAACAGCCCATCCATGACCCAGGCTCTCCTGACAACATTTACTCTTCCAGTCACATGTGACCCTGGGAAGTGGCTGCTGCCGTGAGGGACTTGGGTTCTCTTTGGAAGGTTAACCATCCCAAAGCCTCTCCAAAGCCTCTCGTGCCCACATGCTCTGGTCCAAGCCCTACCTGAGGTCAGTGTGTCTTAGAACCACTCCCTACAGGAGATGGATTTATGCCCCCTCCCTGCTGTGCACACTGAGCAAAGCAGCTTTCAACATCAAACCAGAGCAGAGGGATCCAGAGAGATGTCCTCACTGACTGCAACATCAAACGTGGTGAAGAAGTGACAGGCCCGGCTAGGCTTTCAAACTAACAGAAACTTCTAAAGTCTCTGTTATGAGTAAAAGCAACAAATCACAGTTGTTTTTTTCTTACCCTTTCTTTCCCTGGCAATCCACCCACAGACCAAAGACCCTGGAAAATACAGGTTTCAAGTGCAGAAAAAGGGGAGCTCGGGGAACGGACCACATGGGACACGGACAGGACCACAAATAACATTAGCACCTGAGAGTCATTTTATCTTTCATGTAGAAACCATGAGGTGCCTACGAATACAGAGCACAGCCTGTAAAACCTTATCACCCCTAAACCTGTGTGAAGATGAATTTCACGGGTTATTCAAAAAGAAAATGAAGCCAGACGAAACCATTCACAGAGTCATTGAGAAGAGATGGAAGGCCCAGGCCAGCCTTGGGGGTGTGGGGGTGGGGCTCCCTGACAACCATGAGGTCAAGAGCATGAGCTGTAGGCCTTATCTCCACTCCACACAGCTAGTCAGAGCCCTCATATTGAGCTGGTCCACGACTCTGGAAGCATGTGATCTGAACCCACAGCCCTAGCGACAGGACAGAGCCCATGTTTATGCTGGAGGGCTGCTTGGGCTCTGGCCTCCAACTGTGATGTAATGCCAACCTAAGTCATCTTTAGAAGAGAGAGAGCACTGGGTGCACTGGTACAGGGGCTGGTTCTGCCCCAAACGGTTGCACCACTGTTTTGGTGGTACTGGGGATCAAAGCCAAGGCCTTTGCACTAAGCTACATACGCAGCCCTTTTTAATTTTTTTTAATTTTGAGAGAAGTTCTCACTAAAGTTGCTAAATTACCCAGGCTTGGATCCAACTTGCGATTCTCCCACCTCAGCCTCCCGGGGTGCTGGGATATAGGCACACAGCATCAAGCCTGGCTATGTCACGCATTCTTAAATGCTTCCCAACAAGACAGCACACGCCTTCCACAAACATCACCAAAGCAAAGACAGGACAGAGGTGCAAGGCTGTACATACCCAGGTTCTCTCCTCCCCACACATCCATCATCATGTCGTACTTCCCCAGCTCTTCAAAGTAGAGCTTGTCCATCACGAACAGCCCACCAGCAATCATGGGAGTTCTACAGGACAAAGAGAAGGGGGCAGAGGTCAGGGTCACATGGACAGCTCTCTTCTGCCATGGCCAAGCCTGGGTTAGTGGACTGCAAGAGAACAACCTAAATGCCCCCAGTTCACCCTGTTGCCTCCAAAGCTTCCTCAGTCCTTACCTAGCTGCCTCCCAAGTGCCTGGGCTGGTCTAGATCTACCACACAAGGGACTAATCATGGGGCTGGGACCTGTCACTGAGCTGTTCTTGGCAAGGTGCTTAGATTTCAGTGCCTCACTCTCCTTATAGGCAAGTTATAATGATTGCCAAAAATAAGCAAAGGCTTTAGGCTGCAGCCCCTCCCCCGGCCCAGGTTCCTCAGATGGCTGGAAACTCTGCTCTGCTGCATAGCACTACACTGGTGAATGTGAGGTAACACACTGGCAGGTCTGCCTCAGGACCTGTGAGGCTTCCTGAGGAGACCCATGGGTTTGACCAGCTTGGAGCTTGGTGAGGAAGAGCACGGGAGAGTGGGCACATCCCTCAGCTGTTCAGGCCCAAAGACCCATGCTTACCTGCAGCCGGCACTTACTTGATGGGGGCCACTGGATTCCCTTGCCGTGACCTCCTCTGCTCTGGTGTCATGTAATCCCATTTGAACACGAGGTTCCAGTCAAACCCTGTCACAACAAAAGATCCAGGCACTGACAGAGGGACTGACCCTCCATTTTTAGCTTCCTGCCTCTCATAGCTTACAAATATTTGGTGTTTGGAAGGGGGCTCACAGAAAACCAAGCAAAAAGGAAGACACCAAATAAGAGGATTGGAAGAGAGTGACTGGGGAGGCACAGCTGAGAAGATGAGTGAGGAGGGCGCATACTGACATCTTCCTGACACTCCCAAAAAGAAAATGCAGGTTGGGCTTTTCTAAAGTTAAAATGTAAGAGGGACTGGGACGCAGCTCCATGGTGGACCACTTGCCCAGCATGTGTGAGGGCCTCGGTTCCCGCCTACAACCCCACCACACATAGAAAGAAAAAATAATAATAAAAGCACAAGAAGAGACAGGGAATGTAAAGGGATCTGGGGTCTGTGTTGGACAGGACTGCATGTCCAAGGCTGTAAGAGGTGAAAAGGGAGCAACCAACGAGACTGCCCACAGGAAAGGAATACCAGGGAGGGGAGGCACACAGTCAGTTCCCTGGACCTGCAAACCTTACTGCAACTGAAACTGTATCAGAGTGGGAATGATGGGACTATGAAGACTTTTAGATGAAAATTAATTAGGAAGTTATAAAATTGGGCCAATAAATTTCAACTTCTGGTAAATGTGGCTTCTGTTCCATTTCATTTGTAGAGTCCATAGACTCCCAGGGAAGGAAGCCCCTGGGCCTTTACTTGGCATCAGGCACTTGCAGGGCCCCAGAGACTAGGCTCACCCTTACACTCAGGAGACCAGTGCATACCCTCAAAGCTCTTGGACACCTGGCAAACACACACCATGGCACTGCAGTGATAACCCCACAGGTTTGACTGGCAGACCCAGAATCCACTCTGAGCCTCTGAAGGTCTCTGCCCTCAAGCTTTCTGTCAACGGGACTCCTGCAATGCCCAAGCTTAGATTTCTCATCTGAACTCAGGGTCTTGATAATTTGGTACAGAGGTAACCTCTAATATATTAAAAATTTTACTAGCAGGTCACCCTTCATTACGGATGGGGTGTGGGGGGGAGCACCCAACATCCAGGATTCCACCAATCTAAGCAACCCCAGCACTCTAGTCATGGAGGGCAGCAGGGTTCTCACAGTTCTGTCTTCTCTAGCCCCTGACCTTTCTGTGTGTCTGTCTGTAATGGTCTATCCTTCTCCAATCAGCTGACATGTTTGGAGGTGAGACAGACCCCATTTCATATAAAGAAAAAGGGTCCTGACTAGCTACACAGACTATAATCTCAGATCTAAGGGGTCTGTGTCTGGAATGGCCCAGGGGATGCCTTATGGCAAGCTGAAAATGTGTCAAGTCTCCTTCAGTGGCTCAGGGTACCTCTCTGACTTCTTGGACCTCAGAGGAGTTCCAGGGCATAAGGGCTTAGTCACTGGGCTTTAGCAGGGTTCTCTGGGATCTGGAAACTCAACTCATGCCAGGGATACGGGACAAGTAGGGAACACATAAACCACGACTGGCCCTAGGTACCTGTGTCACGGAACACAGTTCCTCCTACATGTGGTCTGGGACCCCTCACGATTTCAAAACATTCTGATCTACACAGGACCTACATGCCTCCTTCAATCCTACTACTCAAAAGTGACAGGTGAACTGAATGGAGGCTGTGGGATGATATATCAACTTCATCTCATGTTTTAAAAATCTCTTGGTTTTAGGTCCGGGGGTTTAGCTCAGTGGTTCTGCCGCCTGCCTCACAAGCACAAGGACCCAAGTTCGATCCCTGATACCAAAAAAATAAAAATCTCTTGGTTTTAACAGTGACTGCGCATACAAAGCCACACAAATAAGACCTCTGGGTCCTTGATAGTAAGAGGGCAGATAGAACTTCAGATGAATTGGTATAAATGCTCCATGGTGGAAGACTAGAGGCTGTGGGGACCATGGGAAGCTGGTGGTCACTTAGACAAAGGCCTCCAGGCAGAGGTGCAGACAGGTGGCCAGGAGAGGTGTCATCGGAATCAGGACTCATGGGACCTGGTGCATACTGGATGGTGAGGAGCTGGGATTCCACTTGGTTGACCAGTGAGAGTCACAGGCTACCAGGGACAGTGAGCAGAGCAGATGCAGACAGGCCCTGGCGCCTTTCCTGCACAAAACCTAGCTCTGTGGCACTCTTCCTGTCCCGCCTGTCAGGAAGGACCTCAGAGTCCCTGGCCTGGAACACCATCTGGAGGTCTCCCTGTCGCTGACCAGTGAGGACAATGTAACTACTCTGAGCCATGAAGCTCAAAGAGGCAGCCACGTGGCTGGGAGATGAAAGGCAGAATGCAGCCACTCTCTCGGGGAAGATGCTGTGAGGTAAATGCTGCTGTCACTGTCAATCCTGACTGTGGAGATAAGCTGGGCAGGCAGACCATCATGGACACCTACCGCCCTTCAGGTCAGCAGAGGCCCCCACGTACTGAAAGTTGTCCATGTTGATGACATCGATGATAGGCGACACCACCCGAGTCCTGTCCTGAGCAGGACGGAGAGGAGAGCAGCTGTCAGATTCCAGCACAGCCAACAGCCTGTCCCCAGACCTCCATGCCAGGCAATCACGGAGTAAACCGACAGCCTCCCCACCCAAGTATGCGGGGGGGCAGCTACCTGCGGGGACAGCTGGGTCCAGGACACTTCTGCCATCTGTTTACCCACTAAAGGCAAGGACTGTACAGCAGGTCTGGGTTGCCTCCAAAATTTCAACCACAGGATTGCTGTCGTCTCATGGAATCAAAATCCAGCTGCATCAGCACCAGTTATTATTATCATTCAAGGGCAGGAGCAGAGCTTAGGAGCAGACCCACAAAACCAGAGATGCATACAGGATGTGAGAAAGATGTGGAGAGTATCGATATTATTATAGCAGAAGGGAAACAGGTAACCAGAGGATTCCAGTCCTGAGCTTGGCCCCACCAGTGATTCCACCAAATCCTCCCCTCCTGAGCCACCTCTGTGACAGGTCAGGGGGACGCTGTCTGCACACAGTGGCCTCTCACTGCTAGGCCTCTATTTCATAGGTGCTGTGGCTGGCCCTCAGCACAGGGTCACCGGTTGAGTGCTTCCCCTGGGCCATGTCAGCAGCCCTTGTTAGCAGAAGACTTGGAAAGACAATCTCACAACAGAGTAAGTGAAGGAGGAACAATCTAACTACTACATGCAGATTAACAGGGAAAATAATCTGCGCAGCCATGGAGAACAGAGAATGAACCTGTCTCAGTCTGGCCCTGGTGGGGTCAAAGAATGTATGTGTTTTGTTTATCTTTTGATAAGATCAAAACTAGTGACAGTCAATCACCTTCGAACTTTCCCAGTAATGGAGGTGGATGTGAGATGGCTCTGAGTCCCACACAGGCCAGTGGCTGTGTGCACGCGGACTTGTGGCCACCTGGGTATGGCTCTGCTTTCCAAGGAAAGTGGCAGTGGGAATATCCACATGGCTGGGTACGGGGAATTCCAGGGTGGGCTCTGTGGTGCAGATGTATAGGTGTGTGCAAATCAACTCAGTTTGGGATTACATGGGACCCCCTCATCCTATACCATCTGCCCACCTGCATGGTCTGGGTTACATTATCAAAGGGCTAAAGCCATCTCCCACCTCGAGTGGGGGTAATACCTGCATTAAAGGTAACACAAAACAAGCGCCTAGTGTGTTGCTGGACCCAGTAAAGGGCAGTGAACATGATCTCTATAATTATGGGCAGCTCTTGGTTATTTAGTATTTCATGAGTGCTGACCGTCAGTTCTCAATGTGGTGCTAAGGGCAGAAGGGCTTATTAATTTTCCACTTCCTTATACAGGGTCTGCCTAACTGCCCCCGAGGAAGCACTTTCATAGCAGGATGGAGAGAAAGTCAATAAAACAAGCAGACGGCAGAGAAATAACACAGGTCCACACTAGTATTTGTGATGATGGTTCCAGCAGGCCGAAGGTGCCCAAAGTGTGGTCATGGTCAACCTGATGGCCCTGTCTAGCCTCTGGGTAGTGACCACTGCCTGCTTCTCCCCATGAGACTTGAGAGATCAACCAACACAGTCCTCAAAGAGAGCAGAAGGGTCCTGGGTGTGTCCCCAGCATGAACTGCACTCACAGAGGTCAGGCATGCTCCAGCCATGTTTCCCAGAGCTGATGTCAGCTACAAGCAAGGAGGGAGAGTGCAGAAGATTCCTTAGCCAGCAGGGTCCCCACCAGTCTCTGCTGAGCGTCTCCCCGCTCAAGTGACTGTTTCCCAAGCTGGCAGATCCCTGAGGTCCATTAAACTCTCTGAACTAATATCCCAGGGCCCCTGGACTACTTTTTGGTGTTCAGGAATCCTGCAGCCAGCACATGACCTGCCCCCTCCCCGCACCATCCTTCCTGTGCCCACCACACAGCCTCACCTCGGCAACCCGCTCCAGCAGTGGTTCCAGCCAGTGCTCATTACACTCACAGTGGCTGTCCAGGAAGGTCAGGACCTTGGCCTGAGCGGCATCGGCACCACGGACCCGGGAGCGCATCAGGCCTGTGGAGTGAAGGGAAGACCTAGAAAAGGCCAGGCTGCTGGGCACTGAGCTCCCTGCAGACCTGCTCTGTGGCTATCAAGGCAGAGTCTATCAGGAATTTTTAAAGAAAATAGTTAATTAGGTGACTGGGAACACAGAACTACTATGTCCTTAAAAAGACCTACACGTAGCTGAAGTTCCCCCTCGTCCAACACCTGCTCTTCTCATTCCCTCCACACAGTGAAGTGACCTGGGTGCTTAGCCCAGTGAACCCCCAAATTTAAAGCACCTGAGTTAATATCTAGACATACTGTTCTGATTTCCAAGCAGGTCAAGGGAACACTCTGATAAGACTAGTGAGTACTTTATCAGTTATAAACTACCAACACGGAACATAGTTTCTTCCTCTCCTCCTCCCTCTTTACCCCTTCCCTCCTTCTCTTTTAAAGCCTGTACTAACTTCTTCCCTTTTTAGATGTCTGTAACAGTATACATTTAAGTTTAAATTCATAAAATTATTTTGTAGGTTGTTCAGAGGGCAAAAATAATGCAGCATATTATAAGGTTTTTGGTATGTTGTAGTTCTGGAGGAGTGGTGTGCATCCACCCACAGAGCTCCTCCTCAAGGGTGAGGTTTGGGTATCGTTCAACATCTGTGCCGATGCTCTCAGTGGCTGGAACAGATGTGGACAGTATTGCCAAGGGCTCAATCTCTGTGCTCTCAGAACCTTGCTAAGGACACCTTTCTTCCTTGACACCAGTGGGATCACACAGGGAACCAGAGAAAGAATGTGCTGGTGGAGGAATCCAGCTGCACTCCTGGGTTAGCGGCCATCCTCAGACTGTGGCAGTGGCAGGGGTTCTCCAGCTCTGGAAGACTGAAACAGTCCTCCAGCCCGAAGAGGAGCTGAGCATCCAGACCCCAGGACACTGCCACTGAGCTGCCCTGGAAGATGATTATGCGGATCTGAACTTCCAGACACACGTGTCAGCCCAGCACACTCCCCGGAGAGCTCTTCTACACCCTTACAGCAGGCTCGTGAGTGAAGAGCGAGCTCCGCTCAGACATGACTGATGGCAGTTCTGGGGATGACATTTGCAGAGTCGCACGAGTGCATAATTACAGTGCTCCCCTAGTGTGGATGGTGCAGCTTCAGCAGGCTGTCAAACTTGAGCCTGTTATTTTATCAGATGCCTGGAGTCTGGAGTCATTAAACTTCTTATGGCTAAATCTTTGTTGTTCCTCTAAACAAGTCAAGGGACTTATGGAGATTTTCTCAGTTGTGAAAGATAGAAGCCCACTTCCTAAGTAGGTGAATAAAGTGTAATTTGCACTCTTGGCCTAGTGTATACACAATTTCAATTAAGCTTTTAATTGTCCTTCCTGTGTCTGCTGGGACAGGGTCCCTGGCTGCTCTGGGGAGGGGGCAGACAGAAAGACTAGACACTAATCCTTCTCTTAGCCAAAGCACTTCCTTAAGGTATCTGGGGCTCATATGAGTCAGAATTCAGCTATTTTAACAGTGATATAAGAAGGGAGACTTACCTTCTCGGCGATCATTCCTCAGGACCCGAACTTTCTCAATTTTTCCCAAGAGGGCCCCGTCCTCAGCTAGGAAAGAAAAGAAGGGCATGGTGAACCCCAGATTGAGCAAGGCTGGCCCCTTCCTTGGGGCCCGGGAGCAGTGCCCCTCCCTGTGGCCTGGGCGACCCATACTCTCTACTGACACCCCACCTGGGGGGTTGTGTAGGACACAGGGCCACACTCCCGGTACTCACGGTCATTGCTGTAGTCATCCACCAAGATGATCTCCTTTATGAGATGGGGTGGACTTCTCTTCAGCACACTGAGGAAAGACAGGAAGATGAAGACCGTGGGCTCGGTAAGGCCTCACTTCTATAGGGACATATCCTGTCTTGGCCCATCTTTGGCTGAAGGAGCCAGTAGACACTCCTGGTGTTGAAGGGTCCAAGTGCCCTGTCTGAAGCACCCACTACTGCACTGGCCTGACTACCTGGGTCATAACTTGCATCAGCACCCCAACAGGACATGCTCCCCCAAGGATGTTACAGGTATGATGGTGTCCCTGGGCCTCACCTGACCACTGTCCTCAGCAAGGCCGATCTGGCTTCGTTGTGGAATGTGATCACCACACTGGTGGCTGGCAAATCTACCCTCCACTGCTTCCTCTGGCACCTGTGAGGGGAGAGAGGTGTCCTGAGCATAGACAGCAGAAGGGCTGTGGCCAGTCCCTGAGGTCACAGTCAGTCCAAGTTGCCAGCAAGGACCAGCTGCGATAAACCTACCAGCTGCAGGAGCCACGGGCCAGCTGTGGGGTGTAGCACGAGATGACACATGGAGACAAAACAATCAAAGTCATCCTCAGAGATAGCTTTTGGGACAGAAACAGATTGAGAACACCTTGTTGAAGTATCACAGGGTAGAAATGACACCAAGGGAGGAGTGAACTCTGCAGAATCTACCCAAGGAGACTTTGAGGATGCAAGCACAATACAATGTTCCCAGCGTCCCAAAAGAACAAGGTCCATGGCAGGGTGGGAGCTTTCAGGGACAGTGGCAATCTGTCAACTGTGGCTGGGTGCAGCAGAGTCACTGAACTGGGGACACGACAGACATTAGCCTGACAAAGAAGCCAGGCCGGGCCTCTGTGCTACTGCTGTCACAAAGTATTCTGCCCCAGGACAGGCAGGGGAATAATAATTCACCTTCTGGGGTCACACGTCCAAGACTTGGTTTATGTTCTAGCTGTTACTGTGGGCTTCACAGCCGTAAATTAACTGCTTCCAGAATTAAAGACAGCATCTTTCTTGTACAGTAAATCAATGAGAAAAGGAGATGGATTTTGATAGAAGGTGAAGCTCAGCTATGGCTAAAACATTCAAGTTGCCAAGGACTGAAGGGGATGCTCGAGCAGCTGGTGGACAGTGACCACAGGACAGTGAGTGCTCCTTGGGAAAGAATGGATGGCAGTTGCACACTTCACCTGAGGGCTGCAAAAATGATCCCAGAGAGGCAGATGTTCAATATGCACAGGAAAAGCAGCACCAGGTGCAGATATGAGGTCAGAATCTTTGGTTATTACAAAGCCAGCTTTTTTTAATTAACCATAAAAAAACTGCCTAACAATCACTGTTGTCTGGGGACATTCTGGAATTATAAATTCACTGTGTCTGAAGCTTTACTGACAAGTACACTGATAAACTAGTTTTTATTTCAATTTTAAGAATCAGCAGACAGACTGATTAAGGAAGTGAGAATCTGAAGGCTTCAACTGTAAACAAATTACCAAATAATGTCACTCCCAAGAACCCAATCTGTAATGCTAATGAAATAAAGACCCCGACTTTGAGAGGCCTCAATTTCCTCAGCAATTAAATCCCACTTAACTCTGTGGGAAGAGTAAGTGGCAGACCTAGGCTGGATGGGAACATTCAGAAGGCAACGCAAGGCAGCATTTTTTGCTCCCAAATCACAGTAAACCTAGCAGATCCAATCATGCTCTGCTCTCTCATCTTCCTCTTCTCTGCAGGAAGCCTCCTCTCCTTGAGTCTGGGCCTTGCGGGGCTCCTGAACACCCAGGGCTGCTGCATTTGCAGCATTTATTAAAATTTCTCTACATATTCATAAGGTGTCAAGTTTTGCTAGGACTTGTCAACCGTGAGACTTGAGAGAGACCCATCCTCAAGGTAGGGGAATAATACGTAAAAATGGAAACATTTCACGCCATGTGTGAACAAGCACAGGCAGGCTGGAAGACACTCTATAACAAGCAAAGGCATAAACTTTCCATTTAAAGAGCCATTTCCCCCTGCTACAGCCTTTAGCTGCCCTAGAGGCAGTGAGAAAGCTCAGCACAACATCGCGGGGGTGCTGGCACAACAGCCAGGGCCTTCCTACCCGCTCCTTTGGGGAGCTGTGCCCATCCGACGTCCCAAAGGAAATAGCAGCAGGCACAGGTGTGAAGCAGACCAGGCCCTGCATGCTGAAACCTTCTTCTCCTATAAATCAGAGAACTCAAGTCAGACATGTGCCTGGTGTAGCAGTGCATGCCTGCAATCCCAGCTATTTGGGAGGCTGAGGCAGAAGGCTCACAAATTTGCAGTCACCCTGGGCAACTCAGTATGATCCTGTCTCAAAAAAACAAATACATAAAAATAAAAAGAACTGAGATGCAGCTCAGAGGTACAGAGCTTACATGTACCTGGGAACAACTCCAGTAATAAGAAAAAGAATGGGAAAAACCAGACATAAAGTCTTTTGTTCTGTTTTAGTGATCATGAAACCCAGAAAACACATACATAATTAGACCTTTTTCTTCTTATGATCTCACTGAGTTGCCCAGGCTGCCTTCCAACTTGAAACCCTCCTGCTTCAGCCTTCCAAGTACCTTCAATTACAGGTGTGTGCCACCAGACCTGACATAAAGATCAACGACAACAACAACAACAAAAAACAGCAGTTGGTATTGGCAGAGGCTGCCATCTAGGCACAGGGTATGGAGTGGGGATTTTTCTAGTAAACTGGAGATGAGGCCAACAAGTCAAGTTCTTTGGGAGTGGGAAAGGAGTCTACTTTCAAGTACATATGCAGCGCCCTGGGGAGCAAGGCAATCACAGTCAGAAAAAAGGAGAAGGTTCTTAGTTCTTCAGGAGCTCAAGGAAGGAAAGGCAGGGGCAGACAGGGGAACAAGCTTGAGAGTAAACAAGAGAGGCCCTGGGAGTGTATGGCCAGCAGCAAAACTATACTTGCTGTGAGATGGCTACCAAGACCAAACAGATGGTGACAGGAAAGAAAGACCATGGGAAAACACACCTCCTAGAAACACCTGTAACTCAGTTAACCTTAAGCAACTGAAATGATTAGTGTTATGTCTGTTTTTGCTGCTGTAACAGAGCACCTCATACTGAGTAATTAATGAAGTCCACATGTTTATTTTGCTCAAGACTCTGGAGTCTTGGGAGCATGGTGCCAGAGCCTCTGTGCTGCATCCCAACATGGTGAAGGACACACATGTACTGGCGACAGAGCGGGCAAGTGGGGCTGAACTCACAACCAACCCACGCTGGAGACAGTGACACTCACCCATCCTGCCATTTCTGCAAGGTCCACTCCTGATGCCACTGCCATGGCAATTATATTTCAACATGAGTTTTGTAGAGAGCATTTAAAACACAGCAGTTAGTAATTAAGCATTAATTCATGTTCTCACAAAGCCTGGTTTCTGCTATGGGAAAGATGGGAACAGACTTCAAAAGCAATACTGACCTCCTACAGTGCTTCCCAGCCCTGCAGCCCGAGCCCACAGAGCAGTGAAGGCAGGACTCCTGGGCAAGGTGTTCTGATCAGGACTGTCCACCCACGCAGGGGCACGTGCACTGGCAGTCAGGTCACAGGAGGCCAGTCTCCACACTGGCACACACTCCTGTGCCTCTGCTTCCCCATGCAGACAGTGGCGGCTCCAGGCAAGGCCACATTATTTCTAGGTTATGGGTGCTGTGGTTCTGTATTGTCCTTTACAAATTACCCAACTGGCCTTCAACTCATCTGCTCTGTGGACTCCTTCTGAGTCTGCCCCAAGAGGTCTACCTCTGATTTGCTGGTAGCAAAACAAACAAAGCAAAAAAGTCCCTGGGTTTGGGACGCTGAAGGCCCAGTCTTGGACCACAGTGCATTTGCCAAGCCAGAAAGTCCCCCTTTGACTCTGGTAGGCAATGTTACCATCAGTGATGACCCTGGGTATGGATGTGAAGTGTTTCAAACACTAACCTGTAGAGATGGTGTACAAGTACCCAGGTACCTCTACTCTGCCATATCAAGCTTCCCACTTTGCAATGCTGGTCAGATTTTCTAAATGAAATGACATGACAGGTAGTAATTACAGGCCATGTTCTATCCCTCACTACCTATCTTAGCTACTCTGTCACTGCTGGGAGAAAATACCCAACACCCACAGGTTAACTCATTCTTACTGGCTTGAAGCACCAGTGGTACATGTGTGACTATCACATTGGGTGGCTTTGCTGGCTCCAAGGTGAGGTGGCATGACAGAGGGGTATGGCAGAGGAGAAACAATTCATGGCATAGCAGGCAGGAACCACAGAAGGATCAAGGGAGGAGGAAGAAAAAACAATGTGTGTGTGTGTGTGTGTGTGTGTGTGTGTGTTGCACACACACATGCCAAGCCCCTAGTGACCCACCTCTTTCCACCAAGCTTTGCCTCCCAACATCACACCCAGCTATAAACCCATCAGTGGATTAATCCAGTAATGAGTATCACACCCCCACGGTCCAATCACATCCCCAAAAGCCTCACCTATGAGTGCACAAGGCTTTGGGGGACATCTAGATACAAATCCTAACATGATCTCAATGCCCATCTCCACCATAAGCCATGACTACCCTGAATCTAGTGCTTCATTATTCCTGCGGTTTTAACAGTCTATACTCATGAATGGCATTTAGTATCTTTGTCCATGTACTCAGGGTTTCCCTGGTGTCTGTGCTGAGACACTATTTTTGGAAGTGTGCCTACTCCAACACAGCCCTTCTCCATCCACGCCCACTGCAGAACAGAGCCAGGTCCAGGCCCCTCCTGCTGGTGTCACGTTCTCCCTGTTAGAAGCACAGAAATGCAGGCCATCCCTGTCCAGGCCTGAGTTCTTCATTCACCTCCTGGGGACTGTTGGTTATAGAGTACATGCTTCTGTCTCTACTGGATGGCGCTGGCTCACTCCCCACTGTGGCTGTACCCGCTCCACTCCTGTCCTAGCATATGAGATAATACTGTTCCACAGTCTCACCATCCTGACATCACTGGATTTTCCAACTGTGCTGGTCAGTCTACTGTGAATTGGCCTCTGTTATTTCTGTTTCATTTCCCAACTGCCGGTGAGCCCACATATCTTTTCTATGTGTATGGGCTGGCTGCTTTGTTTCTTCTGCTAACTGCCTATTCTTATACTTCATCCCCTTTTCTAACTCTCTCATGATGGAAATTTGTATCTTCTGGATACTACCCTGTCAGTTATCTGTGTGGCAAAGTCTCCAAGCCGGTGGGACATTTTTTCATTTTACAGTGCATTTAAATTTGCAAGTACAGTTTAAAATTTTGCTTTTTCAATCTTCGGCTCGGGGTAATGTTTAAGAAAAGTTTTCTAACCTAAGATTATTAATAT